TCGGATCATAAATGCGACCTGTACTTTGTTTACAATTTAACATGCACAGACAGACAGACGGACGGACATGCATAAATCGACTTAGAAAGTGATTCTATGCATATTCTCAAAAGGAACCATGTGTCTATCTCGTTTCCTTTTGCCTGTTACAAACATATGCACAAAGACATAATACCCTGTACCACAGTGTGGTGAAGGGTATAAAAATAATTTTCACAATTGTGTATTTGAAACAAATACAATAACAACTATTTGCATGTATTAGTGTGGACAGCCCTGCATTAGAAGAAAACTGTTCCAAATCAATTTCATACTCAACATCTGTAAATATATATAAATATATTGTTACAGAAGCGATTAAAGTCTACTTCGTAGGTTCTACAGTAGACACATGCCCACAGCAAACCATTATTACGATCACTAATTTTATCAAAAAGTCTTGCATTTAAACAGGGGAGTAGGGGATGAGAGATACCAAGCAACGGCTCTGATTGGCTTTAACATGGTGAATACCAGGCTTATCTTGGTCCCTCTTTCATCTCAATTGTGGACACTGACCTCCCCGTGGTGTCACTTTGGGCAAATATTTTTATCACCCGTTGAAATAGTGAGCTGATATGTGCCCCGAGTTCACCCATTAAAACTATAAAAAAATTGGGTTGAGGCGTCGGGTTAGTTGCCACACTCAGAAAAAAAAACGTATTAAGAACCACGATCTGCGAATCTGTACTTGGAATGTGCGCACGTTGTACAAAACAGGCACAGTTTTCGCTTTGGCGGATGTACTCAAGAAGTACAAAGCCGATATTATTGCCTTACAGGGAATGCGATGGAAAGGTACTGGCGTAAGTAAATCAGAAGATTACGCCCTGTATTATAGCTGTCATGAAACGAGACATGAAATAGATGACGGTATAGCCAAGATGAGGCCAGAATAGCAATCAATCGGCTGAAGAAGAATAAAGCAGCAGGTGCCGTTGTGTTACCAGCCGAACTATTCATGACCGGTTGTCAGATGCTGGTCAGGAGCATGCACCAACTGATTAGTACAATTTGGCTAGAGGAATCCATGCCTAATGATTGGAAACTCAGCATCCTGTCTCCCGTGCACACAAAGGGAGACAAGACGATATGTGCCAACTATTTAGGAATAAGTCTCTTTCCCATCGAATATAAAGTGCTATCGGACTGAAGTCGATGACATCGACAGTATACCAGGAACTTGAGAACTACAGCATCGAGGTAGTGAACGATTTTATATAACTCAAAAGCTTGGCTACCTCTCGCCAGATCAAACTCACGCTCTACAAGACGCTGAGTTTGATCTGGGGGCCAGGGGGATCGCTCCATCCACCTCCATTGGTGCAGAGTATGCCAAACCACATTAAGACTGTGGATAAAATATTAAAAAACGCTTAATATTTTGATTTTTCTTGCATGTGCAAAAGTGTTCGAATTGAGTTTTTTATTTTAATTAGGCCGGGTCCGGCTCGTTTTTCATTTTCATAATTCCCAGCCCGACCAGGCCCGGCACGTTTTTCATTTTATTTGTATTACTATCAGGACCGATTTTCACGAAACTTGGCAGACATCATTCTAGGCTCAATACAGTACGTTATGCCAAATTTCGTGCAAATCGAAAGATATATAGGGACTTTGGGGCACCATTTACATGAAATCGGACGAAACTATATATGGGAGCTATATCTAAATCTGGACCGATTTTCTCGAAACTTGGCAGACATCACTCTAGGCTCAATTCAGTACGTTATGCCAAATTTCGTGCAAATCGAAGGATATATAGGGACTTTAGTGCACCAATTATATGAAATCGGACGAAACTATATATGGGAGCTATATCTAAATCAGAACCGATTTTCACGAAACTTGACAGACATCACTCTAGGCTTAATTCAGTACGTTATGCCAAATTTCGTCCAAATCGAAGGATATATAGGGACTTTGGTGCACCATTTATATGAAATCGGGCGAAACTATATATGGGAACTATATCTAAATCAGGACCGATTTTCACGAAACTTGGCAGACATCATTCTAGGCTCAATACAGTACGTTATGCCAAATTTCGTGCAAATCGAAAGATATATAGGGACTTTGGGGCACCATTTACATGAAATCGGACGAAACTATATATGGGAGCTATATCTAAATCTGGACCGATTTTCTCGAAACTTGGCAGACATCACTCTAGGCTCAATTCAGTACGTTATGCCAAATTTCGTACAAATCGAAATATATATAGGGACTTTGGGGCACCATTTACATGAAATCGGACGAAACTATATATGGGAGCTATATCTAAATCTGGACCGATTTTCTCGAAACTTGGCATACATCATTATAGACCTAAATGATTAGGCTGTACCAAATTTCGTGCAAATCGAAAGATATATAGGGACCGTTTACATTAAATCGGTAAAATATATATATGGAGCTATATCTAAATCTGAACCGATTTTTCCCAATTTCAATAGGGTTCGTCCTTGGGCCGAATAAGTGACCTATGCCAAATTTCATCCAATTCGGATCATAAATGCGACCTGTACTTTGTTTACAATTTAACATGCACAGACAGACAGACGGACGGACATGCATAAATCGACTTAGAAAGTGATTCTATGCATATTCTCAAAAGGAACCATGTGTCTATCTCGTTTCCTTTTGCCTGTTACAAACATATGCACAAAGACATAATACCCTGTACCACAGTGTGGTGAAGGGTATAAAAATAATTTTCACAATTGTGTATTTGAAACAAATACAATAACAACTATTTGCATGTATTAGTGTGGACAGCCCTGCATTAGAAGAAAACTGTTCCAAATCAATTTCATACTCAACATCTGTAAATATATATAAATATATTGTTACAGAAGCGATTAAAGTCTACTTCGTAGGTTCTACAGTAGACACATGCCCACAGCAAACCATTATTACGATCACTAATTTTATCAAAAAGTCTTGCATTTAAACAGGGGAGTAGGGGATGAGAGATACCAAGCAACGGCTCTGATTGGCTTTAACATGGTGAATACCAGGCTTATCTTGGTCCCTCTTTCATCTCAATTGTGGACACTGACCTCCCCGTGGTGTCACTTTGGGCAAATATTTTTATCACCCGTTGAAATAGTGAGCTGATATGTGCCCCGAGTTCACCCATTAAAACTATAAAAAAATTGGGTTGAGGCGTCGGGTTAGTTGCCACACTCAGAAAAAAAAAACGTATTAAGAACCACGATCTGCGAATCTGTACTTGGAATGTGCGCACGTTGTACAAAACAGGCACAGTTTTCGCTTTGGCGGATGTACTCAAGAAGTACAAAGCCGATATTATTGCCTTACAGGGAATGCGATGGAAAGGTACTGGCGTAAGTAAATCAGAAGATTACGCCCTGTATTATAGCTGTCATGAAACGAGACATGAAATAGATGACGGTATAGCCAAGATGAGGTCAGAATAGCAATCAATCGGCTGAAGAATAATAAAGCAGCAGGTGCCGTTGTGTTACCAGCCGAACTATTCATGACCGGTTGTCAGATGCTGGTCAGGAGCATGCACCAACTGATTAGTACAATTTGGCTAGAGGAATCCATGCCTAATGATTGGAAACTCAGCATCCTGTCTCCCGTGCACACAAAGGGAGACAAGACGATATGTGTCAACTATTTAGGAATAAGTCTCTTTCCCATCGAATATAAAGTGCTATCGGACTGAAGTCGATGACATCGACAGTATACCAGGAACTTGAGAACTACAGCATCGAGGTAGTGAACGATTTTATATAACTCAAAAGCTTGGCTACCTCTCGCCAGATCAAACTCACGCTCTACAAGACGCTGAGTTTGATCTGGGGGCCAGGGGGATCGCTCCATCCACCTCCATTGGTGCAGAGTATGCCAAACCACATTAAGACTGTGGATAAAATATTAAAAAACGCTTAATATTTTGATTTTTCTTGCATGTGCAAAAGTGTTCGAATTGAGTTTTTTATTTTAATTAGGCCGGGTCCGGCTCGTTTTTCATTTTCATAATTCCCAGCCCGACCAGGCCCGGCACGTTTTTCATTTTATTTGTATTACTATAATTATCAAAAACATTCTTAGGGGTATCTCCCAAAGTGGCCAAGATTTTACTGTTTTTGGTATTAGGTAGGTAGAGCCCAATTATACTTTTGTAAACCTTTTTCAATGTATCGAAATTACACGGGTAAACATGTGGGGACTTTAAAGACTGACTTCACCGCTGAAAATGATTTTTTAAAGTACATGTTTTGACATATCAGCCATTTAAACGTCCCGCACATATTTTGGAATTTTGAGTGTCTTAGCCGTACTTTTATTTTTAAAGATAATATGTTTATAATACAACTCCCTGAAAATTGTCATGTTTGTCAATACATACAGAATTTCTGAAATTTAGTATTTAACCTGTTATTTTTATATGACTATGCTGACAGCACGTTAAATTTTATAATCAGAATGCAATCTGCACAGAATTTGTAACATATTTGTAACATTATTACATGCTAATCTTCTAACATATTTTTTTTTAAATTTTCAATGAAATTGTCCGAGCACCCCGAAATTATTTTTTTTAATAAATTTAATTTTGCAACAGAAAATTTTTAATTCCACTAGAGTTTTCTAAATTTCTACACACACAAGAGTAAAATGTAATGTAAGAAAATCCCACATAAAATCATAAAAAAATTGGTTCAGAATATGCCAAACCATATTAAAAGTATAAACTTGTGGATAAAATATTAAAAATAGCTTAATAGTTTGATTCTTATATGTGCAAAAGTATTCGAATAGAGTGTTTTTTAATTTTAATTATACCCGGGCCGGCCCCGGGTTTTATATGTTTATATATATTGAGGTTTAGCAAAATAAGCTTTTTGTAAAATTGTATTTATACTGGGATTTATTATATTGCCGTCTTACAGTATACAATGCACGTTTTTTAATGACCTACTTACCTGAGTCTGTTGAGACGTTAATCCCACGGTCGAAGTCATAATTAATCATTCGGTTATCGTGGTACCAAAATATGTATTCAGAATTTTCCGTGTTTTGAACAATGACACAGTTTAATTTTAGGGTGGATCCGGGAGTTAGGTAACGAATAGGTGGTCCAGATATTTCTGCACGAGCTTCTGTAAAATAGTAACATAATAATTTCATGTACGTCAGGTTCACGGAAACATAAATTGTTTAAGAATTTTCGCCAAATGAAACGAAAATTAAGGTTTACACTAAAAATCACAGTGTCACAGCGCTTTTCGTTCATATAAATCCAAATTGTAAAATATTTGGTACCATTTAGTACTTTTTGCTCCCTTTTCGTATTTTCCTACACTCCAACAGTAATTTAAATTCCTAAATTCAGGAGTCCAGACCTATTCTTTCACACATAATCAAGTTGTACCAAATATAGTACCTTTTAGTGCACTTAAGTATTATACTTTCATATCTGAATTCTACACTACAACAGCCATTATTCCAAATTTTAAGTTTCTAGCTCTCTCCTTTCACCCAAATCTAAATTGTACCAAAACTATCCGTATAAATCTATCGTACACATAAATACGAATTCCCAAAAAGTCTCTATACCAGCAGTGCCCAAAACAGGTCCCATGGGATGTCGGTGTGTGTCAAAACTCTCTCACACACAAAGATAAAAATAGAAATATTTGAAAATAAAAAAATATTTTCAAAATTGTCATTCATTCCTTTTTGTTTTCATACACTGAACGAAAAAATTAGGACATGTTTGACAAAAATTAGTTCAGAAAAATCGAAATATGCGACCAATACAATGGGGATTGGCGAAACAGAAGCAAATCTATCTTTATATAGGAAAATATATCATTAACAAGCATATTTGCATTGAATACAAAATGTTCTTCGGTCTTAAATTTTGAAATACAAGTTTTTACAATTTTTCTCACAGTTTAATAAGAGAGAAACATAAATTAAAAAAAAAAAAACAGTAAGGAAAGTAGTAAAGTCGGACGGTGCCGACTATATGATACCCTTCACCACTATGGGTATATTAAACAGGATTATTAACATGAAATTGAATGAAATAAAATATGTGATATTTATGTAAATGTGCATCTACCTAGATCTATCCATAAAGTATGTAAATCGAGTTCAAACAAATATAAATAGGTCATCCGTTGGGCTATGTCTGTAATTCTAGAAAACGCAACTGCGTAATTCTATGCTCAATTTTGTAAGTTGTGCAAAAATTGATGTCAAACTGACTAACAATTTACTTGAAATCGGGCGAAAATATATATGGAAGCTCTATCCAAATATTAAGCGATTTCAAAAAAAACTTAAAGTAAATCTATATTAAAAGGGAGCTATATCTAAATCTGGACCGATTTTCACGAAACAAGGCAGACATAACTCTAGGCTCAATTCAGTACGTTATGCCAAATTTCGTACAAATCGAAAGATATATAGGGACTTTGGGGCACCATTTACATGAAATCGGACGAAACTATATATGGGAGCTATATCTAAATCTGGACCGATTTTCTCGAAACTTGGCATACATCATTATAGACCTAAATGATTAGGCTGTACCAAATTTCGTGCAAATCGAAAGATATATAGGGACCGTTTACATTAAATCGGTAAAATATATATATGGGAGCTATATCTAAATCTGAACCGATTTTTCCCAATTTCAATAGGGTTCGTCCTTGGGCCGAATAAGTGACCTATGCCAAATTTCATCCAATTCGGATCATAAATGCGACCTGTACTTTGTTTACAATTTAACATGCACAGACAGACAGACGGACGGGCATGCACAAATCGACTTAGAAAGTGATTCTATGCATATTTTCAAAAGGAACCATGTGTCTATCTCGATTCCTTTTACCTGTTACACACACATGCACAAAGACATAATACCCAGTTCCACAGTGTGGTGAATGGTATAAAAATAATTTTCACAATTGTGTATTTGAAACAAATACAATAACAAATATTTGCATGTATTAGTGTTGACAGCCCTGCTCTAAATTTTCAACTCCATACGTTCTCACAAAAACAAAATTGTACTAAATTTAGGACTTTTCGTACTCATAAGTACGAATTTCCTAAGCTACCTCAATCCTACACTCTAAAAGTGATTTAAATTCCCAATTTCAAGATTCCTTGCTCTATCTGTTCACCAAAATTCAATTTGTATGAAATTTTGAAAGTAAATGAATCCTTTTCCAACTGAAATGAAACATTTTCCAAATTAAATGAAACCTTTATTTTTGTCCAAGGAGATATAACATTTCCATTAATACCTATATTGCCTAAAATCGGTCAAAATGACCTCATTCTGAAAGAATTTTTATTGTCTAAAGGAATGTTTTTAACTATTTTTTTTAATATTTTTTACGTTGTTATTATTTGTTTTCAGTGGTAGGGCTCTCGAGTTTCCCCTTTTGAAAAATAAGAGCGCGGACTAAATGTTCGAAAAAGAGGAAGTTTGTACTCTAAAAGTGAAATCGACTGGAAATATAAAATTTATTTTTCCCGCGTTTCTAGAGTAGCAAACTGGTTTCGATGTTGTTGTACCGATCTGGTCACATAAGAAATTTACTTTATACAATAATGAAAGTAGTTCGATTATTTAATATTTCAAAAAGGTCAAAATGACCGCATTTAGGCAATATAGGTATAGCACATGTGAATACGGGGAATAAAAGAGGGGAGGAAGCAGCTACTATGATTAATAAACGTAGTTCTATGTGGTAGAAAAAGTCACAAAATTTTAAAAAGCTGGGTCATAATATACACAATTGTTTTTGTACTTGAAATTGAAAAACGGTCAAAATGACCGTTTTCAATATTTGAAAATTAAATCAAAGAATATTAGCAAATATAGTTGTGGCTATGTAATTGTAATTGATTTTTTTGTAGTTAACATAAATATTCTTTAATTCAGTGTGATTTTATTTAATATATTTTCTATATAAAACTAAATAAATAGTAATACAAACTGGGATATGTTTTGACATTTTAAAACCAGTGAGTGGAGCAGTATAGTCGGAGGGGGTCGACCATACGATACCCTACACAACTACCACGGATCTCTAACTTTCTGCTTATTTTTATACCGAGCCCGTGCAATATTTCAACAGCACCACTTCCCTACACTGACATATTTTCCGAATATAACTAATATTCAGTACAGTCCTTCTAATTACTTCTCCATATTCCTTTCACCGTGGGTTGTGTTGTGATGTTCGGCTTATAATTGTAGCCTATAGATCGAATCAAAAAAAAAAAAAAAAAAAACACACACACACACACAGAAAAAAATAAGTTTTCCGTCCACTTCATCCCAAAATTATTATCTGATCATAACCGAAAATTATAAGCGTTGTACTTGACCATAACTGGAACCTCATGAAACATTTCAAATCGATCATGTAAATATTCGCGATGTTTGGGCCATAATTGCGGCCTCTAGAGCGACCAGAAAATCAGACAAAAATTAAGTATTTGGTCCATTTCATCCCCTAAATATTAACCGATCTTTACCAAAAACAATAGGGGTCTTCATTGACCAGAACCCATCCTACATGCAAAATTTCGTAAAGATTGGTCCATAACTGTGGTCTGTATCGTGTTTACAAATTATAATGGACGGACGGACACACATGTCTAGATCGACTCAGGTAGTCGAGATATGACGACCCTGACTTTTGTGTGAAAAATTACAAAATTTGTATTCTATAGCGTATACATTAACTCCTAAAGGACATATACCCGAGAAGTTGATAGTATATCCAATTGATACCAATTATATTGTCGTAGGTACTCGGATGTGGGAGATCACTTAAAAATTTACAGGTGCTTACGTATTCATATATATTTTAGTGACATATTACCACACTAGAGGATGAAAATATAGCGCTGATAGCTTTGAAATTTTCCAAGAGGATCCAGGTAATTTCAAGGACAACGCCTATAATTTTCGATGATTATCAGATAATAATATTGGGATGAAGTGGACCGAAAACTTAATTATTTGTGTTTTTTCGAGTCGATCTGTAGGCTACAATTGAAAGCCCAACATCACAACATAACCCACGATAAAAGGAATCAGGTCAAGTACAGCCCTCCTCCACTGAATATTAGTAAATATTTGTTGACTTCTAGTCGGTCAAATTTCGCGAAATATTGTCCAAGCTCAGAATATAGAACCACAAAAATTAGATTTTCGTGAAAGTTTTGTAAGGTTTTATATGGTCGGCCCCGTCCGAATGTGTACCGAATGTACTTTTCCGCTCACTGGTTGATCTATGAAATTTTGAAAGCAACAATCAATATTTTTATATTTTTTAAAACAAGCATTGAATGCCTGGTCCTAAATACGAAATTCATATTTGATTTAATAAATTCTTGATGACTGCTTATCTTAATGTATTTTTACAATTTAGAAACAGATTTGTAGTTGTACCTTTGTGTGTGAGTTAGTTATGTTTAAAATTCGAAGTATTGAAGAGCTTAGTCTGCAAGATTGCTCTAACTACATGATGGACATGGTTTTAAAAAATCCACAAGCGGCACGTCGGAAATCCCTTCATTAGGTTAATCTAGTTAAATTTCATAGAACAGAATGCCCTCCTAGTTTTTTTAAACATTAAGAACTATTCCAGTTTGTATTCTTATTTTTAGTTTTATGTAGTATGGATTTAAAAAAATCTCTTTGATTTAAAGTATATTTATGTTAAATGCAAAAATTCAATCACAAATTAACAACTACAGAACTTTACAAATATAATTGTTAATATTATTTGATCTAATTTTCACATATTGTGGAAATAATATTATATTTCCTTGGACTAAAATAAATGTTTCATTTAATTTCGAAAATATTTCATTTCAATTCTAAAAGGTTTCAATCCATTTGAAATAATTTCCATTCCATTTGTAAAAGGTTTCATTCCAATTGGAAAAGGTTTCGTTTAATTTGCAAAAGGTTTCATTTAATTTGGAATAGGTTTTGTTTAATTTCGAAAAAGTTTAATTTAATTTGTAAAAGGTTTCATTTAATCTGGAAATGCTGTATCAACACTACTTCCCAACCAGTATTCCATGTAAAATTTAAGATTCTAACTATATATGTTCAATATATATAGCATTTCCACATTAAATGAAAC